CCACACACACACACACACACACACACACACACACACACAGCTATACACATAAATGCACACGTGCTAGAACACGCACACATATATTCGCAAATTCAATGGCATTCACACTCACCTACACAAACATTTTAGATGCACACAGACTCACATACACACATTCACACATACACACGCAAACAAACACGTACAGCTAACTCCGCCCATGCTATCATATCAAAGCAAGGGTTCTGTCTGTACATATCATTAAGTACTTGTACGCTGGCATACACAACACTTACACACCACATACACACACATTAATTATTCATATTTTTATACTTTTATGCGTTTGTTTCATGTGCCTGTGCTTGTGTTAGTGTGTGTGTGTGTGGTTTAATGTTTTGTATGTATAGTGTATATGTTCAATTGTATATATATATATGTGTGTGTTTGTGAGTGTGTGTATGTGTGTGGTTCATTGATAAACATACATGTGGGCATACGCACATATGGATTAGCATTGTTTGCTTACACAAATGCATTTGACTTGTATTTATGTTTGCATAGGCAGAGATTGTGCAATAGCTTTAATGTATTTTATTACACGTTAACATTATACATACATACATACAAACAAACATACATACATACAAACATACATACATACATACATACAAACATACGCACGGCAACAAGGGGGCCATACATACACACATAAACACATACATACATACAAACAAACATACATACATACACACACATTTTATTGACGTTGTTATTACTCCTGTTATAAGGTATAAAGTTTAAAAGTTAACTTAATAACGCAATGGAGTGTGTGTTCTTATGTAATCCAGTTGCCACATTTGAGCTAACAAGATTGCATAACAGCTATGAACGAACGAAAGAATGAATGGGTAGATGACCAATTGAATGAAAGATTAGATGGATGGATGGATTGATGGACGCTTGCTAGTGCAAGACAAACAAGCATTAGAAATTCGAATATGCAAATGTGTATGGTGTAGTTTGAAATTTAGTGGCTTGAAAATATCACAGCGTTGCATGCGTCGTTCAATTTGCAATTGAGTTTTCAATTTTTATTACGCTGAATTTCAGCTGATTATCAAGATTGATCAGTTTGTTTTTTATTCATTTTTGCATTTTTGTTTAAATATATATATATGTGTGTGTGTGTGAGAGTGTGTGTGTTTGTATGTGTTAACAACATATGTGGATATATTTAAGTATGTGTAATTACAAATTATAAGCGCATTTATAAGCAATAAAAATATAGAGATCAAGATGGAGTATGCCTCCCTGGCGCCATTATTAAACGTGCGTGAACTTTATACACACACACACACATACAAACACACACACATACATACAAACACGCATTATGTATTTATCACATAATGTTTCATTAACACATGCAATTTATATCATACATACATATATTCATTATAGTCATATTTATATATAAACACATACAGACGCATACATACGAACATACAAACACAAACATACGCATGTATACACACAAACACGCACACATATTCATGTTCATACAAATGTGTAATTATAATGTTTATAGCTCGAAGTTTTGTCCATGTGTAAAATCTAATTGATTATTCGTGCACATGCGTTTGTTTGTTGTGTATGTGTGTGTGTATGTGTGTGTGTGTGTGCATGTGTGTCTTCTTTTGTTTGTGTTTTTGTTGTGTGTATGTTTGTATTGTTGTATGTGTGCATGTGAGTGTGCAATTAAGAGTAGGCTTGTTTGTGTGTATGTGTGGACTTACGTATATGCTTGAACATGTTTGTATTTGTATACGTGTTTAAACGTCTGTATATCCTATTATTTTGAATGTGTGAGTGCTTGGATTATCTTTGTGTGCTGGACATTCATATGCAAATCTGTGTTTGTGTAGAAATGTTTGTTTGTATGTGTGCCTGCATTTCTCCATATATATGTGTGTGTGAGAAGAGAGAGAGAGAGAGAGAGAGAGAGAGGGGGGAAGGAAAGGGAGAGAGAAACAAATTTTTACATAAATTTAATCAGTATGAACGAATACTTTCTAAGGGGCTAATTTTCATAGTGTAGCTGCTTGTATGTATTCTTTTCCTAACTTCTTTCCATAAATAATATTAAAAATAATAATTAATTTTATTATTATTATTATAACTATTAATATAGTTATTATTAAAGGTTTTATTTGATATTCGATCTCGTAAAGAATGAATTTATTTGGTTGACTTCCAATTTTAGGTATTCCTTGGTTTGATCATCCAACTCCATTGCGTTTGATTTGATTATAAAAATGGATGAATAAATGATTGGATGGATGGATGGACGGATGAATGGATGGATGGATAAATAACGGACGCTTGGTGTATTATAAAAATCTGAATGACAGACTGACAAAATAAATGAATGAACGATCATGTTGATGAACGAATAAGCGAATATTTAAATTAATCCGAATGAATGAATGAAAAAATGAATGAATGAATGAATGAATGAATGAAGAAATGAATGAATGTAAGGGCAAATGAGTGAAGGAATGAATAAAAGAATAAAAGATTGTTAGATAGATAAACAATCTCCTTGGAATTTGGCGATGATATTTTTGAGAGCTTTGATATTTTAATCCATCCGTTAAGAAGTGCTTGCTAGTATTTTGCATAATAGTTCATTGTTTGAATGCAAACAAACAAACACATCGTTCACTTGTTTGTTCGTCCGTCTTGTTCGCTCATTGATTTGCTTGTTTATTTGTGTGTTCGCTAACATTATAGCATATTCACTTGTTTGTTTGCTTGTTCCCTCATTTGCTGGTGCATGCTAACATCGAGGTGAACATTCCATGCGGTCAACACAATAGCACCGACCACATCCTGTTTGTCTGTATGTGACAGACACGCACACATTCACACATACGTACATTCACACATACCTGCACCTACACAAAAACGTTCGGACGCGCACACACAGACACAACAAAATGATAAACAAATATACACACGTACAGGCGCACATACATACACATAAAATCTCATGCACACGCGCTGTCACACGCAAAAACAAGCGCCATTCATTTAAAGTACAATGTCTGTGATGTCGATGATAAGTTTGTTTTGTTTGTAAACTTTGTATATCTGATACAAATTACATTTTATCTAATGTTTTGATGCCTGTATAATGTCTTCTGTAATGTTTATTTGCATATGCATGATGCATATGTACGTTAAGGTAGAGACACATAAAACCAATTTGTATCCAATTTGGCAGGACATTACACACAGATATTCAGGGAGAGAGAGAGAAAAAGAGGGAGAGAGACACACACACAAATATTCAGGGAGAGAAAGAGAGACACACATATTCAGGGAGAGAGAGAGAGAAAAAGAGAGAGAGAGAGAGAGAGAGTAGGTGTCGAAAAGTTGAAGAGTCAGGTTCAAAGTTGAGGTTAAGGTGTTACTCAGTAATTGAATGACAGATAGTAGGTATTTGTTCCTCTAAGTTACTGCTGGTATGTTTGTATTTGTGTGTCTTTGTGTGTCTTTGTTTGTATGTCTGTCTGTATTTTTGCGTGTGTTTGTCTGTGATCGTTTGTATCTCTGTTCACACTTGCTATGCTGTTTGCATGTTCTTACGCATATGTGTATTTTTGTGGCCATGTGTTTGTTTCTTGAGTTTTGGCTCTAAAGAAGATGATGTGGACGAGAGTGAAGGCGTTGATGATAACGATGATGATGATGATGATGATGATGATGTGACAATGGACATTGGACCACCAGCAGTTTATATGATGACGACAACGATGATGATGTGATGAGTGGAATAACTGGAATACCTGCCGTTCTGCCATCTCCCGCTGTTTTGTCTATTGTCTGCTGAAAATACTTCACTCATTTTTTCGTCCTCATCATCATCATTTTGTTAAATACATAACATAACATACATACACACACACATACATACAAACATACAGACACATACATACACACATATATACATACGTACATATACATACATACATACATTACATTACATTAATACTTTGTAATTATAGTATTATTAATTGCATTATGAATCTCAGAACTTATTATTATCATCGAAGTATTATATTGTGAATGTGGCATAATTATTTTATTACTAATCTTGTTATAATCGTCGTTTTCTAGGCGTTATTATAAGATTAAAGCTATTGTATAAATATTTTTTTAATTTTTTGTTCATCTTATGGCAGCCAAATTACACACACACACAGAGAGACGCACACATACATACACACGCATACATACACACGCAATACAATTATATATTCGACTAAAAAGTTAATTAAAATGACACAATAATAGCCAAAAGCAACTAATAACAATAGTAGTAGTAGTAATAATAATAATAATAATAATAACATCAAAGAACAAAATTCTGTGCAGTGTATGTAGGTAAACCACAAAAACACACAAGAAACGTCTCAAAACTAATTTTAAGCAGCCATAACAAAAGCCTTTGTTATATATTCCCAAATAAACATAAACCCTTGCGTGTATAATGTATGTATGTATGTATGTATGTATGTATGTACATATACAAATATACATGCATATACAATGTATATGTTGTATATATATAAAGGATGCAAATACATATAATTGTATGTGTGTGTATTTTTGAAAAATTTTGTTTATGCGTATGTTTGTATTAGGGGTATAATTATTATTATAAATGTGAAATGTTATGTCACATATATATGCTTGTAGATATCTGTATATATTGTTAAAGTATGCATGTATGTGCTAATGTATGTACGTACGTACGTGTATGTGTGTGTGTGTGTATGTGTGTTGTGTTGTGTTCATATGCACCTCGTTATTTTCCCAAATATAAAGCCATTCCGGAGTACGCCAATACGGAGTGTATTGTTTGATAAGCTAGAGATTGTATGTATTGGTTGATTTTTCTAATGTTGAAAGAAAAATTTGTTTTTTTTTAGTAATCTTATTATTATTTTTATATTTTAAAAATATTTTTTGATAATTTGTTAGACTGTTTAGGTGAAAGTTAAACAATTAATTGTGAGTTCTTTAATTGTTTGATTTTATTGCAAACGACAGATCTGATGATAATGATGTTAATAATAATTATCTATTTAATTGGATTTAAATGTATATTTTGGTTTAATTTAATACATTAATTTAATTTTAATTAAAAAAGTAAATGCCCTTAAACTGCAGAAACATTCCAATGGATTCCTTGATTGAACCGTTGGTCGCCTGCTCGTCATCAGAATCACCTCCATCTCCATCATCAACGTCTGCCAATGACGTAACCACAGCAGCCACCAAAAGAGAATCAACGTCATCAACTGCGTCGGCTTACTCGTCAGTTAACTCGTCGTCGCTTGAACCGTCAGACTCATCGTCCTACTTATCCTCATCTTCAGCGGCATCGCAAGCCACAACAACGACGTCATCTTACGCTAAAAAACGAGACCAAATTGTCGAGAAATTTCGCCAAAATTACCCGGAAAGGTTTCTAAAGTTAGTCACCATGCATTTGAGTTTCCTAATGAACCTACAAGATGACGGCTTGGAGGAGTTACTCGAGGGCCAGAATGAAAGTAGCAAGAACACTCCCGCGCAAAATCAAAATGGGGGAGAAAAACTCGTGAAATTCTTCACCATAAAGAGAAAAACTACCAAAGGTAAGGGAGGCTGTTATTTATGTCTATGTGGTTTTATATTTTGGCCATTTTTTCATTTCGTTTTGCTACTTTGTTTTCATTTTAGAATATTATAATGATACTATAATCAATATGTGATATTACAAACACAATGCTGAAATGCGTCAAATAGATAATTAATTTATACCCGTTTGAAAGTACCGAACCACATCAATAGCACATTAAATTTTATATTCATGCTCTCGTTCCAACACCATCATTCACCATTTTCTTCCATATTCCATTTACTCTTACCCTTAGCTATTTTCCCCTATTCATAAATATCTTTATAACACCATACATAACAAAACGGTAGTGAATGAAGCAATTGAGTTGCAATCACAGTTTCTTTAATTTTGATACCAATAATAATAATAACAACAACAATAACAGTAATAATAATTATAAAAACAACAAAGATAATGTTGAGTGGTATGTTTAGGGCGGTTCTCATACGACGCATTTTTTATTGAAAACAACAACAGCTACGTCAGCAGCAACAACAACAATAACAACAACAATAATAATGGCAATAATAATAAAAACAACAACATCAACAACAATTCCGTTCTCTTTGTTATTTTAGGTGCCTAAGGTTTCTATTATGCTTGCACAACGTGGCATGGTTTATTGCTCTGTTACTATTGTGTATGTGTTTGTTTGCTTGTATGTGTGTGTGTGTGTGTCTAAGTATGCTTAATTGTTTTGTGTGTGTGTGTCTAAGTATGCTTAGTTGTTTTCGTGAGTATGAATTATTTATTTGGTTGCTATTTTTTTCAACCTGCTCAAGATTGCACACCTCACCTTACATTGGCCAACAAAATTGTTAGTAACATTTGTAGCAACAGCAGTAGTAAGAGTAGTAATTGTGGTATTAGTGAAGTAATAAAAGTAGTAGTAGCAGTAGTGGAAGCTGTAGTAGGCGCCTCTGATGCTCCGCGAAGAGAGCTGTACAAACGACATTGTTATTATTCTTATAACTTATTTTTATTATTACTGTTATTATTGGTTGTGGTAGTAGTAAAAGTGGTAGTAGTAGTAAAAGCTGCAGCAGTGTAAATGGTAGTAGCAGTAGTGGAAGCTGTAGTAGGCGCCTCTGATGCTCCGCGAAGAGAGCTGTACAAACGACATTGTTATTATTCTTATAACTTATTTTTATTATTACTGTTATTATTGGTTGTGGTAGTAGTAAAAGTGGTAGTAGTAGTAAAAGCTGCAGCAGTGTAAATGGTACTAGTAGCAGTAATAGTAGTAGTATAGTATTATTAGTAGTAGTAGTAGTAGTAGCAGTAGCAGTAGCATCAGTGGCTGTAGTTGTATTAATACTGTAGTAGTAGTCGTAGCAGCAGTAGTAGTAGAAGTAGCAGTAGTAGCAGTAATAGTAGTAGTATAGTAGTAGTAGCAGTAGTAGCAGTAGCATCAGTGGCTGTAGTAGTATTAATACTGTAGTAGTAGTAATAGTAGCAGCAGTAGTAGTAGTAGTAGTAGTAGTAGTAATGACCTTGTCAGCCAGAGTGTGACCTTAGAACAGACAAACCTTATAATTAGAATCAGTCACTATGGTCATTATAATGATGGCTATACGATGATGATGATGATGATTGGTTGGGATGGTGGTAATGATATTATTATTATTATTAATTTTATAGATAAATATATCTTATATTGTTAATCAGAAATGGGAAGTGAACGAATGAATTAATTAATAAACGAATGAATTAATGAATGAACAAACGATTAAAAAAATAATGGAAGAATGACAGAAAAAAATAAGTGGATGGATGAACGAATGGATGAATAAACGAATGAATGGACGGATAGACGGATGGATGAATGAGATCTTTCCACGTGAATTATTGCATAGTAACATGCGAACGGGTCAGGTCAAACATGAGGACATGCAAAAAATCCATCACACCATACACACCAACCTGACCATTTGATACTATAATATAATTATAAATATAATAATTATTATAATTGAGATTATTTTTATTATATATTTATTTATTAATATAATTAGGAAATTAAGAGCGACGCCAGTTAAAATAATTTCGGTTGTTAATCTTTTAATGGAGGAGTTTTATGCTTTCAACCTCTGGCTATAAAGCCATAAAAAGCCATTGGAATTGGATGTCAGGTCGATATGAATGAATGAATGAATGAATGAATGAATGAATGAATAAGTCAATAAATGATGGAAAGAATGGGTGAATGTAAGGATGAATGAACGACAGGTGGATGAATGGATAAATAAATGAATAAATTGACAAACGAATGAATGCATGAATGGGTAGACAAATATATGAATGAATGAATGTATGAATGAATTAATGAAATAATTAATGAATGAACAAATACTGCTTGATAAGTGAATAAATGACTGAAGAGACAAACAAATGAATGTATGTACCATTGTTTAAAATTAAAATCACAACCTGATAAAATCCACCTTTACCACTACTGATTTTATCAGGACTGGTGTTGTTAATTTTCCATCCCAAACTTAAAGTTGTATTTTAAGCAATTCAAGGAATACTGCTAGGTTAACAATGGGGGGAGATTAAACATGAAATTTGTCGTAGGGTTAGGGTTGTTTGAAATTGGTTGTTTAAAATTGTTGATGGTAACTCTGATGAAAATATAAAATTTTATATAACAATATTATAACAATTATAATTAAACTTACTTATAATGTCAAAACCAATAGTAAAACTCTCTCTGTGTGCATGTGTGTGTGTGTATGTGTGTGAGTGTGTGCGTGCGTATGATGCGTGTGTAGGAGCAGCGGTGGTAGTTGTTGTAGTAGTAGTGGTGGCTGTGATGGTTGTCGTAATTGTGTAGATGTCGGAACAAATGAGAGTCAATTAAAAAAGCAAATGGAGTCAGCGATGTGGAATTCTTATGTAAGCTGCTTTAACATCTGTTCGCTCTTTGTTATGTTCATTCCTCCTTTATTTCTTCATTCAATCATTCATTTAGATTTTTATCCATTCATTTGTTTAAATATTTTTTCAATCAATCGCTTATTTGTTTTATATATCGGTTCCTTTATCAACAGTTTTTTGAATGAATTTTAAGTTTGTGATTGTATCTGTATGTGTGAAACATATTTGTATGTCTGTCTGTATGTATTTATATGTATGTATGTATGTTGTATGTATGTACGTATGTATGTATGTACGTATGTATGTACGCATGCATTTTAAACTAATTACGTACCGAGATGAGTTGAGCAAATATGGAAGACCTAGCAGAGGTTTTATTTCTCTTGAGATCAATAAACTTGTTATGACATTCCAGTGTTTATCATTAACTTATAATAAAACCACGCCCGTGTAAACATCAAATCAACAGAATGTATGTAGGTATGTTTCTTCATTTCTTGTATGTCTTTTGTTTGTATGTAGGTTTGTATGTTTGTTTATATGCGAAAGTTTGTATGCATCATGCGTTCGTGTGCGTGTCTTTGACTGTATGCCTTCGTGTGTATACGCTTGCGAGTTTGTATGTGTACCTTTTTGTGGTAATGTTTGTGTTTTGTGGTGTATTCTTTGTATTTATTTGGATATTTTTTTTGGTATTCCTGATTTGGTTTTTGCATATCTAGTTTGGTATTTGTATCCCTTTAAATGTCTGTATTATTGATGTTTCGTTTGTCTGTCTGTTTGTTTGTATGTGCGTATAAATAGCATCAAATGTGTGTGTTTGTGGGGGTTTGTGTATGTGTGTGTGTGTGTGTGTCGTCATCATCATTATCACACGTGCACATAACCATGATAATCATTATCTTCGATATAATCAATGTTAATTCTACATTGACACGTTATATTGCTGGGAGCATTTTAACATTTTTACTGATTTATTTGAATGATGATTGGCCATGATGCTAACGATAATCATGGTTCATGATTAATCATGATAATAGTAATAATTAGAACTCTTTTATTATCAATAAATCAATAGGGGAAATGAAATAAAAAATAAAATAGAATTTTATTGTACAGTATAATTAAAACCACAAATGCTCATTATCTAGGATAAGTGCTCAAGGTAGTTTATTTAAGAATGGTTATACCTTTCGCAATAAATGACATACGTTGATTTAATAACTAAGTCAATTATTTTATCAGTTAATGAATAATAATAATAATAATAATAGTAATAATAATGATGATGATGACTAGCCTTAAGATATGACACAACTGGTGGTTATAATAGATGGTGTGTGACCATTTCATCATCATTATCACCATCACCATATCATTCAATCATCATCATCATCGTCATCATCATCATTATCATCGTCCTAGTTGTCGACATCATCATCAGCAATGTTATCGTCGCAATTACATCCACCCTAAATAAACTTTATAGTCTTTTAACGATTATTGCTCCAAGCCATTCCCCGGTTTGATTTTGCGGCGAAGGTGATGATGATGTTGTTGTATGTTGTTGGTGATGATGATGGGAAAGATGATGACGACGACGACGACGATGATAAGGTACTATTTTGATACGATGACGATGATGATGATGATGATGGTGATGATAACGATGATGGTACTGGAGATTTTTTGGTTATAATAACTCGAAAAAAAATGATGATGATGACAACTGATGATAATAATAACATCACAAATAATAATAATTATAATTGTTGTTTTAGTCGATAATGATGGTGATGATTGTGGTGATGATGGTGAGATACTATTTTGATACGATGAAGATGATGATGATGGTGGTGATGATAACGATGACGGTACATGAAATTTTTTGGTTGTTTGTAATTACTCTGAAAAAAATTCACGCGAATCATGATGATGACGATGATAATAAATGATGATAATATTATCATCACAAACAATAATAATTATAATTTGTTATAAAATAATTATATCATAATATAATTAATAATCACACGCCCAAACAGACGACAAACCGTCGAAATTATTTGGTGGAAACCTAACTACAGAAGCAATTAGGAGAATTCTGCCACTAATCAACTACCTATCGGAGGATGAACGTCTGTGAAATTGTCTTCTTATAATTTTTCATCATAATTTTATTATAATCATCATAATTTTATTATTTTTGTTATTATTATTATTATTGTTGTTGTTGCTATTGTTGTTATTGTTGTTATTTTTGTTGTTGTTATTGATTTTTTTCTATTAAAATTGTTTAAAAGGTTCAACATAATATTTTATGTATACTAAAACAAATATAGTACATTTTACAAACAAACTAACATACAAAAATACAAACAAACATACAAAATACAAACAAGCATACAAATGATATACAAACAAACATACAAATGATATACAAACAAACAGAATCATGCAGATTTACAAATGTAAACATACGTACAAATTGAAGTAAAACATATTCATACCAACATATTCATAACCCAATGCAAACATACACAAACCAACAAACATATACAGACCAACATGCAAACATACATGTTAACATACATACAAAACATACATACAAAACATACAAACATACATACATACCAGCATATACACACAAACAGTGATGACAATCAAACATAATATCAATCTCATCACATGACAGACAATTGAATAGAATACAAAACCATGCCATGACCTGTCATTGTATGTTGTACGTATTGTGTCTATGTGTGTATGTATGAATGAACGAACGAATGAATAAATGAAGGAATGAATGAGTGAATAAAGGAAGAAATGAATGAATAATCAAAAAACACACTAATCTACACAAACACGCTCACATAACTTAGATAACACCGAATATCTGTTTCAACGAAAAACCATTAAACTGGTCTTTTTTCATAGTACTCATGAATATAATATATATATATATATATATTATATAATGTACACTTAATTTAATTTAATTAATGTATACTCAACTCGACGCAGACACACACTAGTACATTTTCACGCCGGACGGTGTGTAGTTTGCTGTAGTGTGGTTTGCTGTAGTGTAGTTTGTTGTAGTGTGGTTTGTTGTAGTGTGGTTGCTGTAGTGTGGTTGCTGTAGTGTGTTTATTGGTTTGTTGTTGGCGTGCTGTGCTATTGTTAAAAAAATGGCTTTAGTAGTAGTAGCAATGGTTTCACGTATAGTTTTGAGAACACGTTTACATGTAAGAGAACACCTTTTTTGAGAACACTTAGTTTTTTTATTGTTTCAGACGGAAAAGTTTTTCGATAATTACATAAACCAGCTGGCTTTGTGGTTTAGTTGCATTGTTATACATAGGTCTTGCTGTTGTTGCGAAATGTTGTTGGTGTGTTGTTGGTTGCTGTCGCTTTTAGCTGCGCTGCATAGGCTGTTGTTGAAGTAAGTTTTTTAAAGTTTAGTTTTTTAAAGTAAGTGTTTTTTTTTCAAGTAGAAATAATTTGCCGCCATTGAAGTTGATAAGGTCGAGGTCGTGTCACGGCTGCTATCGTTAAACTCATTCGTGTGAGACTTTCAAAGGAATTTCAGAAATGTTTTGCACTGTTGTCGACGTTCCTTCGTCTTTGATCCTGTATTGTTGTTTTTTATGTGGATGTCGTTGTTGGTGATGTCTGTTGGATGGTTGTTGTCTGTTGGCTGGTTGTTACTATGTAGAGATGTTATTAAAAGTGTGTGTGTGTGTGTGTAGTGTGTGTGTGTGTAGTGTGTGTGTGTGTGTGTGTGTGTGTGTGTGTGTATTTTATTAAAGTCATTTTGTTTTTTGGGATTTTTATAGGTGAAAATTGTTTTAAATAATATAACTTGTTTTTATGTACGCTAATACGTTAACATACAAACAAACAAACACAAACAAATGAACAAACAAATGAACAGGCATACATACAAACGTACCAACAAGCTTATAAACACACACACACACGCAAATAAACATACATACAAGAGGCAGACATTATTACATCCTGTTAGAACACAACTCTTCCTTCCAATACAAAACGTTTTAAATCAGATGTCTGTCAAATTTCATACTACTATTTCTTTCATTCATTCATTCATTCATTCATTCATTCATTCATTCATTCATTCATTCATTCATTCATTCATTCATTCATTCATTCATTCATTCATTCATTCATTCATTCATTCATTCATCCGTTCATTCATCCGTTCATTCATTCGCTCACATCTTTCATCAAATCACTCTTTATTGTCATTTTGTTGATTTGTTTTTTTATTTTAAATTAATTAAATAATAATAATAGTAACATTAACAACAAACATTAATATATAACAACAATAATAATAACTCCCGAAATCCCATTATCTCCGGAATGTCACACAGACTGCCAGCGTGAGGGAATATTCAGGATCTCCGGAAATTCGGAACGCCAGAAAGAACTGCGCGAGCTACTAAACAGCGCGCCACAAGAAGCCACAGAAGGAAGAGAAGCAGACGCCAGACACGATTTTTTGACAGACATTTCCACAACAAGATTCACAGTAAACGACGTCGCGACTACTTTTAAGTCGTTTCTAGGCGAGCTTCCGGAGCCACTTATGTCGAGCCGATACTACAATTCCTATCTTCAAATTGCTGCCATGAGAGATTCAGTCAAACAACTACAGTGTCTACAATTGTTGCGGTTTTTGTTGCCGAACGAGAACGCAACAATGTTAAGGCTGCTGTTGGATTTGTTGAATAAGGTAGCAGCGTTTTGGCAGCTGAATAAGATGTCCGCCGATAATCTAGCTATCATCTTTACCCAACATCTTTTCATATCTAAAAAGGTCAGAGATTTTTTTAGATATATTTCATTTATTATAGTGAAACTTAATTATACTTAATTATTTCATAAATATTTCCAATGTGTATCAATTATGTAATTAAGTTTTAATTGGTTAAATAACTTAATTCTCCATAATGTTTAAGTATGGAAGAGGGTAGAAATATTCCTTTCCAAGTTTTCATTTGGGTACATAGTTTTTGTTAGAAATAAATAGCATTATCTTCATAACTATGCAATCACCGTCGTTATCATCCGTGCCGTCATCATCAAATCATCATCGCCATCATCATCGTCGTCGTCATCATCATCGTCATCGTCGTCGTCATCATCATCCGACCGGAAGCGCAACATCAGTCAGCACCATTACCACTCGAGTTTTTCCAAGACTATTGAATGTACACAAATCTGTCATCCTCACTTCTGGCATCACTCCATAAGATACTACGCAGCGAATATCTTTCAAACAATATACATTATGATATATAAACGCACACACACACACATACGCACACACACATACACACACACATATATACACATACATGCACATACACACACACACACACACACAAACAAACAAAATCGAAAACTCTAAACAAAATTTCCTGACAAATTTCCAAATTTTTCAAAAACAGCTCCCGGTGTCACAGCTTAAAGAGGCTACAGACACCCTGAAACCACTGGTCGTCCTCATGATCAGCAACAACCGCAGCCTCACCAGCCACAACAACTGCCCCGAACAACTCGTTCATGACGTCATTAGGAGTGCTAATGACGTCAGTAGGCGGAGGAAGGAAACTGAAAGCGAAAGTGCCGAGGTGGAAAGTTCAGGATTGAAGGTGATTGTGATGATATTGGTGGTGATGATGATGATGATGATAATTATGATGATTATGATGGTAGTGAGATGATGATGATGATAGCAGTTTCACAAATAAAATAAGAAAAATAATCGAACAAAATGGATTCTTCTCAAAACACGCAAATCTTTTCAATCCTTGAAAAAACAGAAAGGCAAAAAATTTTCCAAAACGTCAAATAAAAAGAATAAAAGCAAGAAAAAAGATGTCAAACAGAATGATGACGACGACGACGACGATGGCGTCATCAATTCAATCTACACATTTAGCGATAGGGAAGCATCCAGACTGGCCGCCCAAAATGATTGCACTAAGAAGGCTTTAGAGGATTTATACAGTACTATATACACGATGACCGAGTCAGCTAAGAAAAGAAGATATGTAAAAAATGTTTGTGATTTACTTCATTCATTCATTCGTTCGTTCGTTCGTTCGTTCGTTCGTTCATTCGTTCATTCATTCGTTCGTTCGTTCGCTCGTTCGTTCGTATTTTCGTAATTAGGATTTTAATCAAACTTGAACGTTTTATTTTACAAATCAATTTTTCAAACGTATTTTTGTTGTTAGTCTAAGTGCATGTAATGTTTAATAACGAAGTTTGGTTAAATAAAATAAAAATAAATAAATCTGAAAATGAAAAAAATACCCAAATAGATAAATAAGAACGACCAACTGACGACAATAGCGACACCTACTTCTAGAAGTTTTTACGGCAGCCACAACAGCCGCAGATCTGGAGTGTCATTATTGGTTTGTTTGTTCATTGCTTTGTAGAATACAAATAATATAAAAAAATAATGACAATTATTAATATTGCAGTCAGAAAATGTTTAGTGAATTATATACCCGATAAAATAACCTCAACTAATTCATTTCATCTACCCTTCAGAAGGTTATGAGTGAACGTAGAAATGGACCATACAACTGCCTACCTCACCAACTCAACAAATACCAACAACCAACCAACACGCCCGGCAAACAAAATCCAACAGTCTATACAAACAACAATAACACAAGCAACAATTACACAAGCAACAACAACAAATACAACGACAGCGAGTTACATTCGAGAACTCCCATCTCAACATATTCACCACATCTGCCAGTGTTAAGATTATTTCAAGCTGGCAGTAACGACACCATCGGCAGAAACGTCGACCACAGCAGCGACATCTACGATTCTCCTGCCATTGAATGCATTCCAATTAATCTGTCCATCAATTTCGACGCTGCAACTGAAACAACTCCCCATCAACAACTACAACTACAACATCAAAAATCTCATCAATTGGAAAATATGTCAAAGTTAAATGATAACAAAGATGACGATGATGAGGGAGACGACGATGACGTCATTGCAAGCATGGAGGAATCTACTTCCTGTAAAAAGAGCAGCAATAATGACTCGACTATAGTCTACGATTCGGACGACGATGTTGATAATGGTGATGATGATGGTGATAACAACAACAACAACAGCAGCATCAACAACAACAAAAACAACAACAACAATAATAATAATAATGATAATAATAAAAATAGTGACGATGATGATGAGGAAAAGGAAAATTTTTCACCGAGAAAACTTAGAGGGTACATTTCGCCATTGAATTACCTCCCGGTTCTTGAAAGGAAATCCTCATCTACGTCACCGTATACGTCATCATCGACCTCATCATCACCATCGTCATCATCATCACCATCGTCATCGTCATCGTCGTCGTCAACATTGTCGTTACAGCAGCAAAACTGCCATGCAAATTTTTCCATAAATGGAGTGAGTTACTTTTTTGAAAATTCTTCCTCACTCATCTCGTTTACTGACCTATAATTTTTTTAAAGAAAATTTTCACCATTACTTTCTACCCGCCGCCTTTATTAATTTTTCTGTTACAGACATTACCACTTTTAACGGTAATTTTTTTTTCTCGCCGCTACTATTTCGAGTTTGAGATTTTTATTGGTTATACTTACAAACATCAAATTTTTGTTACGCGTATCTCTTTGCTTAGTTACTATTCTCTTTGTTCTTCATCAGTTATCGATTTTACTAACTATATTACCAGAGTTTTTTAATTAATAATTTTTCCTCTATATTTCCAGGAACTAAATTTAACAATCATAAAGTTTAAAAAAAAAATTAAATTGATAATTTTTTTCATCCCAGCAGAATTTTTATAACAAGTTCACCCTTCCATGTGCTTCTCCGTAAATGATGGAAGGATGAAAAAAGAGAGAGAGAGAGAAAGAGAGAGGGAGAGAAAGAAAGGACAAAGTTGAGTGAATGAATGAATAAATGAGAGAAACGAAAGTGAAACGCCTGATTGAAGAAAAATGTGATCCATTGAAAAGATATTCAAAGTAATTGTTGAATTAGGTTTTACAATTGGAATGTTTAAAGGCAGTCTAACGGATTTCAGGCTGACTGGAGCTTCATTGATATTCCCTTGTAAATATCTACCTAATGTATATTAACTTGTATTTTATCCATTATAAATTTAAAGAATTATTTATATTTTCGAATTAAAACATTCAATGCTGACGTTGTGTAAAACCGATCGTTCTGAATTCAAAATTTTTATAAGGGTAAATTTTAGTTCTATTTAGATTATGATTATATATATATATACATTATAATATATATATATATATATATATACATTATAATATATATATATATATAAAAATATGTGTTTTGCTGTTTATAATATTAATTATTTTGCATTTGTAAACATTTCGTTATTAACTCGTTGATGGATGAATATTTTTTCCAATTCCAAAATTTTTTTTTCTTGAATAAATATATCCATGACAGTATTTCATTGTCTGTTACTTTATGATTTGATTTGAGTTTATGATTTAATAAAATTAATAATGATACACACTAAAACACACTCGCAAAATATAAAAACACCTGCTGTTGAAAATTAAAAACGCACTCTGGTTACGATATGCTACGTCATATTTTTGCCTGCATTTTATTTATATATTTATGTTCAGCTACACTTCAACTACAGTGACAGATGTGGATGGCGTCGAGGGGTATTTCGGTTTCATCATAGGTAGCCAAACGACAACCCCCGATCTCGAGGAAAATGTCGTCTAAACGTGTGTTGTTATTGTTGTATGTTCAGCTACACTTATGCGAGCCGTTCAAACAGTTTTAAAAAATTTCAGGAAAATAATTACATGAAAATAACAATCATTACAACATGAAATAAAAGGCTCAAGTAAACACATTTTATCCGATAAATATTCATTGAGATAACTTTAGTAACCGGTCAATGATTCTTGGTCGGTGTTTTTCAGGTCAAGACGATTTTTCATTCAAACAAACGCCTAATAATTTTGGTTGTCAATCATGGATATATATATATATATATATATATATATTTATTTATTTATATATTTATATATACCCATGGTTACAATGGTTATTCTAATTATATGGTTACAATGCCATTGACGTATTATATAAGTTTATTTCATGATAGAGAGTTTATTTTTAAGTAAGCGTCTCATAATTTATTTACCTTTTGTTTTACTTTTAATGAAACACCTTGATTTTTAGCTACAAGTTTGCAAATTGGATCGCAAACGTTTCTAATTTGCGTGTAAAAAAATCCCCCGCAGTTAATTTTAAACAATGAATCTAACCGATAAACCTGAAACTAACTGACATGGCTTTCCTCGATAAATTGAAAAATTTTAAGATTTTCGGATACGATGATAGGCGCAAGACAACAAGATTTTTGAAACACGTCACCTACAGCAGAAATCCGAACGACTGCTGGCAGATCGTCAAAGAGATAGGTGATGGGGCCTTTGGAAAAGTTTTTCTGGTATGTGTGATGCATGTATGATTGTATGTTTTTTTATTTTTTATGGCTTGACATGGGAGTCCACAACAATGCTTACTAAATAAAATTAATTATATCTTACTAGAAAGATAGACTATTATACATTATCTCTATAGTCTATACTATACTTACATTAAAAATTAATAATCATGATCATTTAAATCAATCAATTCTCATTTATAGTCTTCATCCGTTATCTATCATTAATTATACTTATAGTAATTCCTATTACTTTCTGTCAATCAAATTAGACAAAAAATGTCAGAACTCAAGAAGAGTCAGCTCTGAAGCAAGTGGCAATAATGGATGACAACTCGATTGATGATCATTCTGTCGAAATAAATATTTTATCTGAGATAAAACACCCCAGCATTGTTCATCTTAAAGAAACTTATTTCTTTGATGATAAACTCTGGGTTAGTGTTAATATGAATGGTATTAATATAAAATATAAATGTTGTTAAATTTTAATAAATAATTATTTTTTTTTTTTAATTTTGGTAAAGCATCTGTGTCTATCTTTTAGTTTAAATTTTGTACTTGAACAAATTTAAACATTAGTTATTGTAGGATAACTTCTAATATATTTATTGAATATAGCCTATACTAATAGCCTAATTGGCTGTTATGTTTCTGTTCTGATATTTTCATTTATTTATTTTATTATGATCTCATGGCTGTTATTGGTTTTATTTTATTAAACTCATTTTTCTCATTTAATGATCGTAGCTTTAATATAATTTATTATTCATTCTATAATTAACATGCATTTGCAAATTAATACGCACACACACCTGTTTGCATATATTTAAACTATGAGAAAGAGAGAGAGAGAGAGAGGAGAGAGAGAGAGAATAATGGTGAAATTATATCCATAATATTTTTATTATAGTTAGTTATATATTCAAACCATAATTTTGCTAAAGAATTAATGAAATTTTTAAAAAATCTTACAAGTATGTTTATTTATTGTTTGTTTGTTTAGTTGTGAATGAAAAAATGTATTGCACTTGAACTCTCAATAGCTTTCAGTGGATGTTTCAAAATATTTTAAATATTAAAAATAAAAAAAATCTGACTAAAAGTCTGTTTGTTTATTTGCTTTGAAAATTTTGAAACTTTCCAAGTCTTTAAAGTTGAAATTAAACTAATGTGTTACACTTTTACTTCAATAGCCTAATCATTGCTGGTCTGTGATGATGAATGTTGTATGTTTAGTTGAAATAATGAAATGTCTCTTAATGCTATGCAAATGCAAACAGAGAAGCATCAAGATTCTTGATTATTGTCATTTGCATTATTTCGATAACCATTTACGTGAACAAATTGTATAAAGATAGGGTTGATGATTTGATGGTTCTATCCTTGGCCCTCTTCTATTTATACTCTAAACTTCTGAACTACCTCGTATTATTAATAATTTTTCTTTCACTGGTCAACTAACTATATGCTGATGATTCTTATATTTATACTTCTTTTACTCCATCTAATCTCAGTGTTCTTCGAAATCTATCTCTATATCTTTCTTCAATTATTGCTTGGTCTGACTCTGTGTCTTAAATTTAATTCCTTCTAAATTTGAAATGATTTGTTTTAATAAATTTAAACACTCTGTTGCTATTCCTTCTATTATCTTACCTGGTTCTAAAACTTTTGATGTTTCTCACAAGTTTTGTTGTTTAATAGTTTAGGCTTTATCTTTGATTCTAGCATGTCTCATTCTTCTCAGATTAATAGTGTCGCTAGAAGTTCTTACTTTCATCTACGTAGAATAAAAAAACTTTTGCCTTTTCTTGACGATCCTACTCTTCTCCTTCTTGCTACTTCTAGGATTGATTATTGTAACTCCCTTTACTATGGTCTTCCTGGTTCTACATTGTGTATTTGTTTCGTTGTATGTATGTGCGCGCGCGTGTGTATTTGTATGTACGTGTATTTGTTTGGTTGTATGTATGTGTGGTGTATCATGATGTGGGGATGCTACAAATGATAAAACGTGCGTTGAACCTAAACGCCCCCGGTTTACGACGGTCTTCTTGTTCTCACTTCTTCTTAACTCGTGTTAAACATTCTTCCTAAATCTGCATTTGCTTTTTCTGACCCTTTTCTCTGGAACTCTCTACCTCCTTCTCTGACTACTTCTCCATCACTTACGAAGTTCAGAGCGGATCTCAAGACCCATCTGTTTGCAAAATTCATTGAGGAGCGCTGTTGAACATCGCGGAAATAGCGCTTTATAAACTAATTGAGTGATTGATTGAAATAGTTAAAATAAATGCACATTCACACACACATACACACACACACACACACACACACACACACACACACACACACACAGATGTATCTAGAATACTGTAGTGCTGGTGCTCTGGACGCCATAATGTTGAACTTGGAGAAACCATTAACAGAGCCACAGATAAGCTGTGTATGTGCTGATGTATGCAAAGGTCTGTGTCGGCTTGCTACTATATATATATATATATATATATATATATATTTATTTATTTATTCATTCATTTATTATAGTTTTGTAGTATTACAATGTTTATAAATATAATTTGGATGGTTCTATAGAGATGGTTAAGGTGCTTGGTTCTTGGAAAGAGCCTTGGAAAAAATGGAGAATGCAGATATTGAGGGAATCGACATTGGAGGCAGAGTGATAAGGGACCTCAGGTTTGCAGATGATATAGATCTGCTAGCATCTAGTGCAGAGGGTCTACAGAAACTGATCGAGTTTACGTAAGATGGTGGAAGAAACCATGGACTATACATCAACAGCAGTAAGACAAAAAACAACTTGGAAGACAAAAAACTGTGTATGAAAGTGTCAAGGAAAGAAAGCTGGGTATCTTTGGGCACATCTGCAGAATGACAGACTGATCAAAAAAGTACTGATGAGAAAGAGACTGGAAGAAAAAAGTTGGAAGACCTGTGAGAAAGTGGATGGATGATATCACGGAATGGACGGGGTTGGAACATTGAGCTCAATGAAGATGGCGAGGGAAAGAAAAGGATTTTGGAGAGATAGAAGAATACCATCGGCCTCAACGGTCCCTTAAGGGATTACAGAGGATCATTGAATGAATGAATGAATGAATGCTTGGTTCTACTGTCGCAGCGACCGAACTTGAATCCAATGAAATCCCCCAATCACGTGCAATGTATGTGTGAGGCGTTGATTACACACGTGTAACTGTGTGTTTGTTGTTGTTGATACTGAGAGAATTTTGAGTGTGTTTGTTGTTGATATTGAAAGAATTTTCAAAAAATAAATTTAATGGATAATGGTATTGTAAAATTTTTGCTGGCTCTACGAATGGAGAGTTATTAATATAAGTTATGAACTGTTTTTTTTGTGTTTTTATTTGACAGTTTCATTTCTTATCAATACTACAGCCATTTTTTCCAAATTCGATTACAACCACATTCAGGCTTGGAGTGCTTACATGATAACTTCGTCATTCACAGAGATCTGAAGGCAAGCAACCTTCTGCTGACAGCCGATGGAAGAATTAAAATTGGTGAAGCGTGGTTTTTGATTTTATCATCAATTATTATTATTATTAACTATTATTATTAATTATTATTGTGGTTGTCGTAATTGTTATTATTGTCGTTCTTATTCGATTGTTTATATTGCAAAAAATTGCTAACCACAGATTTTCCCTGACCACATGTAATTAATTATTTAAAACAAATTTTTCTGTTAAAACAGTTGGTTAGAACTGTACTTCAGTTTAGAATTATATTTCTGACGGACAAGAAGACGATAATGATATTGATAATGATAATTATAATAATAATAATAATCATAATAATAATAATAAAACTATGTAGCTCTACGTTGCTTAAAACGTAAATACATTTTTCACTTTCTGCTCCGGGCGTGAGTAAATTTTTGAATAAAAATAATAATAATAATGATGAAAATGATTGTTAAAATTGTCAAAATAATAATAATAATACTTACAATAACAATGAGTTTGAAATAGCTAGCTATTCAATTGCTTTATTGTTCTAAAAGGCACTTATTGAATAGTAAAATTCCTTAAGAAAATCCAAATTGTTATTTTTATTCAAGTAAAATTGAAATATAAAAAATAATAATAATTCATAGTTTCTGGTTTATTATTATTTTTTGGTTTTATTTTTTTTTGGTTATTCCTGCTTTTGAACAATTAATTTCTCCTTCCACTGCTTCTATTACAATTATTTTATTTGTTTATTCATTCATTTAAACATTCGATAAATTCCTCCATTCACTCATTCATATTTTATTATTCATTCATTCGTTCGTTCGTTCGTTTGTTCGTTCTTTCCTTCATTCATTTATTCATTCATTCATTTATTCATTCATTCATTCATTCATTTATCCATTAAAAAATTTACTACGCAGCCGATTTTGGTGTGTCAGCCAAGAATGAGAGTGCCAAAAAAATGAGAGACTCATTTATAGGAACACCTTATTGGCTAGTTATAATAACAATAATGGGAACTCTTTTTATTATCATCAAACCTCAAAATATAAAATCAATTATCATAAATATACAAAATGTTTATAGTCATCTAACCCAAATTTAAGGGTTTGGTCTCTGTGACGTCATTTGATGAGAACTGATTGAGGAGGAAGATGCTGTCAATCTTCACCTCATATAATAATAATAAATATAAATATAATAATACTAATAATTAATATAATATAATAATAATAATTAAACTACAGGATGGCTCCAGAAGTTATGAGATGTGAGACATTAAAAGATGTGCCGTACGGTTATAAAGCTGATGTCTGGTCATTAGGTAGGTTTTAACATTAGTATTAATATTATTTTTAATATTATTATTTGTATTTTTTTATTATTATTTATTTATTAAATTATAATATTTTTATTATTTTATTACTTCAAATATATCATTCGCTTGCGTCTTCATAAGCTGTGGGTATATTTTTATTCTTCCCGATACGTCTGAAGGAATAAGCGAAAATAACACCAAAGCACTATCATATTTCTCTTTTTGTTCAAGATTTTAAGACTTACAAGGCACAAACACACACACGTACTTACACACGTACACACACACATATATACATACACACGTACACATACAAGCACACACACGTACACACACACACGTACAACACACACACACACACACACACACGCACGCATAACAGGTATTACTTTGATAGAATGCGCGGAAATGCACCCACCGTACCACGATATGCACCCGATGCGAGTACTCATCAAAATAGCCAAGTCCGACCCACCGACTCTTAAGAAACCGTCTGAATGGTCTGTCACCATCGTGATTATAGCATCGTCATTGCCATCTATCACGTCTATGTATCTATTATCTCTCTCTCTCTCTCTCTCTATATATATATATATATATATATATATATAAATATATATATATATATATATATAGGAGTAAGACCTTTTGAGATGCAGTTGTTAATGAATTCCACATCTTCGTTGGGCTCTTCAATTTTATCTGCTCGAGAATAATTATTTAACAATTGTTGTTAAAAAGGACAAAGAGATTCAATGACTTTCTAGCCAAATGTCTTGTAAAGGATCCAGATTACAGGTCGTCATCATTTCAACTGGTGCAAGTACGTCTGTCTATCATTATTTCAATATGATATATGGTCATCTTCAATCATGTCTGACCATATATGGTCATCTACGTACAGTCATACAATCATTTATTCAATATCCATGCTTTAATTTTCATTCACAATTTAGGATATGAAATAATAAAATTTATACGTATTATCATTGTGTAGGTGCACCGACAGATATCCATCTTTGTTTTTTTATTATTTAGTGAATACTTAAATCCACTTTTTACATGCGTATTTTTAGCATCCTTTCATCTCGACCACGAACGACTGGAGTCCAATGAGGCAGCTGTTGGCGGAAATTAATGCAGAAGTTACGGAGGAAGTTAGAGAAGAGCCAGATGAAACGAGTCTTGACGTATGTTTGTGCGTGTGTGTGTGTGTGCGTGCGTGAGTGTGCGTGCGCGCGTGAGTGTGCGTGCGTGCGTGCGTGCGTGAGTGTGTAAATATGCATCTTTGTTCGTTAGATATTTCTTTTGTTTCTTTGTATGTTTGTTTCCTTGTATGTTTGAGGTTTTATTACTATCATTAAACTCGACCAGTAGCTGTTGAAATGAGTTAGTTTAGATTGTCTAATATAATTCTTATTCCATTTTTTTTAAAGTTGATGAAGTTGAAACATTTTTAATAATAAAATTCAGCGAAAATTTGTTTCAGGATCTGGAATCGAACGACGTAGACAGGAAGTCATCTTCTTCCTCCTCAACATCTGAATTGAATACGAATGTTTGTTTTACATTTTTAACGGAGTTTTTCTTTTTTTTCTTTTTTTTAAATTCCCAACATACGATCCCATGTTTGTTGGAATGTGTGTGTGAAAACATTTCATCTTCAATCGTGAAACTTATTTTAAAGAGTACTGCTAAGAATGTTGAATCAATTGAATTTTCAGTCCTCATCGACAACAATCAACAAAGTTTTTGCCGATGATAACAAAACAACAACTTTACCACCGTCAACCGCAACAACTTCACCACCGACAACCGCAACAACTTCACCACCGACAACCGCAACAACTTCACCGCCGACACCACTAACTAAATCTAAAAAAATTCCTCCCTCCCCGCCAATCAAATCTTCGTCAGCAACTGACGTCATCAGCAGGGGGGCTGAAGATATGACCAATGAAATCCTGCTATCCATAATTGAAGAAGTCATAATGTCCAATAAAAAAAAGCCATCCATTCCTAGTATAGTCTTTGACACATTTATGGACATCATAAACGATGAAGATGTTTCTGATGGTACTAACAACCCCAAACCTTACGATGGTATTTCTTGTAATAGCAGTAGTAGTAAAAGTAGCAATGGTAATGTTTCCACCAACAAAATTCTGAATACAGGAATCCGTAAAGATAACAGTTTCGATTCTGGAGGTCTGTAGGACTTTTTTCTGTTTTATTTTTATTTTAGATTTCAATGGCAAATATTTCAACCTACCGACCACTATTACTACTATTGCTGCTTTTACTACTACTGCTGCTGCTGCTGCTGCTGCTACTCTTACTGCTGCTACTGTTGATGATGATTTGGTGTCAATGAATTAGAAAAAGTAGATGATGATATGATATGACGATGGTAGTAGGGGATGATTGCAAGCGAATGAAACACACATTCCAGAAATCGACATCTCGCAGTTGAACCCGGACGCGATAGGAGAAGTTTGCTCGTGGCTCTACTACAAAATCTTAGAGGAGGTCCTGCAGTCAACAAACAGGCAACCTTCTATACCTGGCGTCCTACTCGATGTTATGACCGAACAGATTAAAGGTTTATTTACTCGTTCGTTCGTTCGTTCGCTCGTTCGTTCGTTCATTCGTTCATTCATTCATTCATTCGTTTATTCATTCATACATTCATTCATTCATTCATTCATTCATTCATTCATTCATTCTTTCCTTCGTTCGTTCGTTCGTTCATTCATTCATTCATTCAAAGATAGTTGGATGGGATTGGTAAGATGGATAAATAAATGAATGAATTGACTGATAGTTAGGTAGAGAGGATGAATGAATGAATGAATGGATGTTATTTTCAGATCGATTGACGAAATAAAAAATGAAGTACGAAAGATTTGTTGAAAGCGTATAATATTTTTTTTAAGTTTGCTGGCGCTGTTCTGTAATAGGCGATATCTCTGAGGAATAATAGCGAGAATTAAAACCGTAAAAAATTAGGACTCACGGACGCACCACAAATGCCACCACAACCCCCGACGACGATGGCGACAGCCACTCACACAGACAAACCACCTGTGCCACTACCAAGCGGTGGAAAAACACCACATTCTCACAAGACAGATAGTTCTGGTAAAGTTTTGGAAGATTTGTAATTAAAATGATAAAGGTGTTGATGATGCTGTTTGTGCTGATGATGCTGTTTATAATGATACTGCTGGTTACGATGACGATAGTGAATGTGATATTTTTAATTTTACTTTATTCAAATATTTCTTACGTATATTTATTGATTGATTTGGTGAATATTTTTCATGTAGATTGACAGTTTGAAATGTCAGACTTCTATTTCTTAGGCCAGAATGTTTTAGAAACTATTTTTAAAATTCAAATTTTCCAAATCGATTTTTTTAAAAGCTCACCGAACCAAAGAAACCCACACCTCACCGAATTTGCATACAGATAATAAAATCGCCAACAAAACTACCAACAACGACAACAGCATCAACAAGACTGACAACAAAATCATCAACAACAACATCACCAATGACGACAACAACAACAAATTGAAAGCGCCATCTACAGAATCCGTCCCGCCCGTTAAAGCTGTTAGCTTATTTATCATCACCCTGATCATCATTAACTAATCCTAACTCTAAACATTTTGTCATGTAAAATATGTATAAGGATCTGCATTGCATTAAAATAACCAGTAAATGAACGTTTAAATTCGTAGCGATACTATGGAAATCCATTAAAATAACCACTAAAATAACCATTAACCATGATATAAATACGTTACACACGTCGCATTGAAAATGACCAAATATTTGACCAGGGCTTCAAAAAGACGATGACCAAAACTCGGAGGTTCGTGAACGTAGATGGCCAGCTGGTGACGACATCCACCACGCACGTCATCAGTGCCAGCAGGGACGACAGCAAACAGTGGAATGAACATGAATTGAGGTGAGTTGGTGCCGCTTGGAGAGATAAAATTCGATACCTTGATCGGTAAGAAATGAAATTAACATGAGTTAGGTTGGCTTTTGTTGTGTGAAAATTGGATATTTTGATTGAAATTAAAATTTTATTAATTATCAATTTTATCGACTCGAATGTTTTATATTTTCACATTTTCTCCAGGAAGCGGGATCTACGCGACATGAAGCTTCAGCAGAAAGTCGAAACGAAGCAGCTTTTTGAATTGGACGCCAGGTATAAAATCAGATGTGACGAATTGGCCAACAAATTTGAGAAGGACAGACAGGTTAACACCTTTGTTTCTTACATCCAAACTAACTACCTAACTAACTACCTAACTAGTGTGCTAACCAAATGGGGAAGTCCAACTATCCACTGAAACGAGATAATTAAAATGAGATGATGTTGTTTCATCTGGCAGAACGCCACAAAGTTGTATGAACTGGAGCTGGAGCAAGTGAACAGGACAGGCAGACTGCAGACGGACAGGTTAGACGAACAACTCATCAACGAACAGAAAATACTTGAACGGAAGCTTAAGACTGAGCAGGTGTCCTCTCTAGTTCATATTTGATTTTTTAAAACTCGACATTATTGATTCTCCTAAAATTATTCTTGAATATTCTCACATAGGAAAGAGATTACAAATTATTCATAGAGGCGCAGAGGAGAGAGTTGAAGTCATTGAAGTTGGATGCAGATGACCTAGTTGTCGGGGAGGGCAGTAGGAAGGATACGCTACGTAAGAAGAAGGATAAAACTCTCAATGAACAATTGGAGAAGGTTCCGATCTACCAGTTCAAATTTTTTCAATTTTAATTTAACTTTAATTTTAAACATTCAATTTATTGTGTGGACTTTTAATTTATTACTCTTCATATCTTCATAATAATGTGTAACTTACTGTTCCGCCTTCATGCTATCAATACATTAAATTTTAACCTCGCTATCAAGACGCATCACACATCAACTTATATAATTTGGAGTTGTGCGTTTTTCAAATGACTTGAAACATTTCGATGAAATTCTTGCATTGAAAAGGATAGAAAATTTCGAGAGCAGATGACTCAAAACATGGAGATGATGAGAAAGAAGCTGATCGATGAGCATAAGAAGAACATGGCCAGATCTGAATACAAGCTTCTCGAACTCAAACAACTGGCCCTGAGAAGTAATTTTTAAATTTAAGTTTCGAATTTAAAATATGAATTAAATATAAATGGGCGGCGGGATGGTGTAATTGTTAAGATGTTTGATTGTGTTGTCACAATGACCGGGTTTGAATGCGAAGAGATCCCTACCTATCTAGTTCAGTGTGTGTGGTGTTAGATATGTGGATTCGTGCGTATTCACATACACTGTGTGTGTGTGTGGTTTGAGCATGGTGTGTGTGCGTGCGTGTGTGTGTGTGTGTATGTGTGTGTGTGCTGTTGATACCTCTGCTCTGATAATTATTTGAGAAAATGATAATAACACTTCTATTAACAAATTAAATAATTTAATTTAATTTAACAGCCAGGGAATCGACGATATGGACGTCTGAAGAGGAGTTGTTGAAGCAGCGTAACGAGGCCATGAGGCAGCATTTGAAGGAGAAATTCATTCTTATGAGGCAGCACATGATCAACAGACACAACAAGGTTGGACAAAGTAGATACTATTTACTCTCGTTATAATAAATCATATCGTTTATTCGTTCATTTGTCCCTCAATCCATTCATTCATTCGTTCGTTCGTTCGTTTGTTCGTTCATTCATTCATTCATCCAATCATTCATTTGTATCTGTACAGAGCAATAATTTTAAAACTCAACGAAACAAACCATCCCTACTGAAATACTTTTAAAAACCACCAGCGCTAAAAACGAACCTCTCTCTCTCTCTCTCTACCTACCATACTTCATCTACAGGAGATGCAGTTATTGGACCAATCCAACGTCAGCCTGGTCAGTGAACTGACCGCGAAACATGCCCTGGAACGTCGAAGGCTGCCCAAACTCGAGAAAATTGATTCGAAAACGCGGATCTACACCCTGAAAAAGAGACTCAAGGACTCAAATAATGAACAGGAGAAGTTAAACGAGGTCTGGATGTTTTTAAAGATCTGAAAGAACCTTTCTAAAAATTTGGAACAAAAAATTTTTTATGTGTTTGTTGTACCTCATTTCGGTACTTTACTACACTGTTACATTTCATTTTTTTAATTTTTATTATGAATTTTTGCCTGTCAGGAT